GGCGAAGGATTTATGCGGCTAATGTGCGTCCGTTTCATTGTTTATTGAGCTCTGTGGGCCGAGGCATGGAGCCATGGAGCCATGGAGCATGGGGCATGGTCAGGTGCAGTCAGTCAATGAGCTGGGGAGAGCTGTGGAGCCATTTATTAATTGCATTTCCATTCACTTTGCCTCCAGTCTCCAGTCGCGACTCGCGATCTTAGCCTTAGGCCCCACAAGTGAATGTGGCACACACACACACACACACACACACACGCACACCGTTGCAATCGAGCAAAACTCCTGCACGCACATTTGCATTTTATGGCTGAAATTAGCGTCTAATTGGAGTTTACACGCTGCATATTTTATTCGCAAATAAATTGTGCTGGTGTGGTGGTATGCTGGTATGGTGGTGGGGCTGCACTTTTCGATTTTGGGGGTTTGGCTGCTGCTGCTGCTGCTGTTGCTGCCGCTGCGCTTTTTGCCGTTTTTCATTTGCCATTTGCTGAATTTGTCAGCGTTTCGCGCTCTCTCAATTCAAATAAAACCAAAAATCGAAGCGAATACCGAAACTCGAACAAAAAGGCAACAAGTGCCCCAATCCATTCACCACACACGCACACACACACACACACACGATCAGCACGCACTGGACAGCTATCTCGCTCACTCGCTTTTTGCCTATGCGTGGCTCTATAATTGCAAATTACAAACACATTCAAATGCCGATCAAGTGCGACACACACACACAGGGACACACGCACAGGTGGCTGCTCGGACTGCAGGTAGGCGTGTTTATTAGTCGGCCTTAAAACGCACACATTTCCAAAATGGCGACCATATCGCTGGCATTGCAACAACAACAACTGCAGACAACTACTGTAATATCCAATTCGATAAGCCGCCAACAAAAAATAAAAACCAAAACTAAAAGGTGACACAAATTACGGGCTTTGCTTTGCAGGTGTTATCGATGGTGGTGAGAGCAGAGCACAATCGATATTGCAACAGTGCATGGGAATTTGAGAGAATATCCCTGTGAATGGGATATCCCTCCGAAAGGGAAATTGAAACTTCCCGAATGCCATTTAGAATTACAGTTGCACTTTCTGCATTTCGCCTGGCCTGCTTAGGCTTTTCCTAGACATGGGATACGGCGGCGCATGTCGTCAGGCTGGGAGTGGGACTGGGACTGGGGGCACTACTCCTGTTACCGCTGCCGGCTCCTGCCGCTTGTTGAACATGTGCTTGGAAGCTGCTGCCGCCTGCAGCTGCTATCGGGCTGGCCGTGGTTTAGTCTTACTGCCAAGTGACAGGCGCTGGCTACCATCGGGCAGCGTGAAATTCGATATGCCATTTGGATCTGGATGCACTGCGAGACAGCGCAGGCGCCTGCACCACGATTCGCTTCCCACTTTTTGGCTGGCATTTTCCAATTAACTTCGCATTAGCCACCGCCCAAAGTTCTGTGGTGGGGACTTTCATATTTCGCCTCTGCCGCCTGTCACTTGCGGCCATGTAACGTCATCCTCAACATGACAGACGCGGGCTAATCCACACCTACCCGCTGCCCAAGTGGCCCGCCGTCTCCTCTCCCGTTTGCTTGCAAAATTATTAACGCCATTAACGGCAATAGAAATATTTGTGTTGGCCAGCCCAATCCCCCTCCCCACCGCATGCACTCGGCCAAACGGGTTGCAGTTGCAGTCCGCCCGGCCGCAGGGGAAAAGGAAAAAGATTACAAGTCATGGCTACAAGCGCCTGCGACTGTGGCCCACAAATGTGACTAATGGCATTTTTGAATGCAGATGCAAACGCAAATGGGACGGTGAGAGAGAGAGAGAGAGTCATGGATGGCGGATGGCGGATGGAGCTGCAGCTTAGGCCGCGACTCCTCTGCAGTTCTCTGCAGTTAAGTTTATAGGCAACAATTTTTAACGCCTTGCCAGGCTGGCTGGCTGGCAGTCAGGCAGGCAGGCAGTCAGATCAGCAGATCGCGGATTCCATCCGCATGCCCATGTGCGTGTGCTTTTCTGCAGCGTCATTAATTTTGCCATGAATTGACAAAAACATCATAAACTACTTGTTGAACAGAAAATCCACTTCGGGCGACAGCATCCCAGCCCACGCGCCAATCCGGGGCTGTGGCCCGGTGCCGGTGCCGGGACCGAGATGGGAGATGCCGTTGCCGCCCGGCAGGCTCATGTTCAGCTTTTGCTGCGCCTGTGCGTCTATGGGGAGCGGCTGTGCAGCCTCATAAATATGGCAAAGACTTCCCCATCCTAACCCAGCCAATGACCTGCAACTGGAGGGCTTGAGCCAAAATTAATGGGCCCAAAGAATGCAATTTCAGATCGGAGATCAGTGGGAAAAGTGGAAGAGCATCCTCCTGCTGCCTCAACTCGGATGTGCAATGGCTGAAAGCATTAGCAGTGGAGTGGAAAATCCTCCAAATCACACGATTGGCTGCTCTCCCTGTTGACCCACGCGGCGTATGCGCAATGTTAGTCCCCCTAATGATCGCAAAGATCGCAGAGTGAAAAACAAACAAACATTTCGCAATTTCAGGCAACAAACATTTACAAACAGGCGACAGCAATTGGATGTTTAATGAATTGCAAAACCGAATCGGCAGATCCCTTGCCGCCGTCCCTCCGCCACTCCTCTCGGTCGCAGTCGCTCTCCCGGAAAACAAGTAGCCGATGAGGCCGATGCAAAAAGGTAAATCGAAGCCGAGATTAATAGCGATAAGGCTATTGATTAGCATTTTAGCCACCGCCATTAGACGGAGGAGCGAGCCAACAAAATTGTAAAATTGTAGAAGATCCACTCTAGATGTTATCAAGGTGATTGGAAGGAGTGAAGCAGGGGAGCAGCGGGAGCAGGGTTCGGTAGGTGTTGCAAGCATGCAATGCAAAGATAATTCAAACGGATGATGCCACAGACCAGACCAGACCAAAAACCAAACCAGACCCGAGCTGAGTCGAGTCTATAGCTGATCGAAAATTAAGCGCACGCCGGCAATTTGCATAAAAGCAGTTTAATGTTTAAATGTTTTATTGAATCGTGGCTCGATTACAAGCAGATCGAGAAGCGATGCGGATAAGGGGGGCGAGGGGCTGGAGGAGATGCAAAATGCAGATGGAGCGGGAGCCGGAGAAAGGAGAGAGAAATGAAGTCGCGCCTAATTTGCAATGCAAATCCCGTCGTTGGGATGCGGCTGACTAAACTATTTGAACCAAGTCATTCCTCCATCCCAAGCTGGAGCTGGAGCCGGAACCGAAGTCTATTTGTAAGGAGCCAAAGTAAACTGGTTTTTTAATTATGAAAAAAATCGATAACTTATCAGCCGAAGATGCAGCAGCAGCAGCAGCAGAAGTATCAGCAGGAGGAGGAGTACAGGCAGGCACGGCAGGCAGGGCAGGAACGTGCGTGTCCAAAAGTGGGAAACGTTGCAGCTGCATTGCCGATGATGATCCCGACCGAATGCTGTTGATGCTGGCTGATCAGTTGTCAATCAAAGGCGACGCTGATGCTTCACACTCGACAATCGACAAGGTCCAATGGAGTATGTCCACATGTGGATCGGGGATTTGGCTGACTGTATAGAGAGAGTGAGAGAGAGATGGGGAAACGAAAGACGCTGGACTATCATCATTAGTCGCTGCCAGAGACATACAGACACGTTTGATAGCAGCCGACGTGCCAGACAACAACGCATCGACGAGACTACTGGCCAGGCTCTAATTGCAGAATGGCAGCTGCGATCTGGAAATGGCAGCCCGGCTACTTTATCCAACTCCAAAGCGACTGCAACTGTCAGCGGCACTCAATGGCCAGATCCAATGTAAAGTGACGCCTGATCTTGAACTGGTTCTGTTCTCGACGCGGTGGTCCACGGCCATCACAGCTCTAGACATTCGCATATGCAAGTGACTCCCGTTCACGTTCCCGTTCCCGTTCCTGTCCCAATCCCAATCCCGCGCTGGCCTTTCCAATTCAATTCTCCAGTCGGTCCAGTCGGTTGTGCGGGCCCTGCTGTGCCCAAATTGCGTATCGATTGATCGTGAATGATATGATATTTTTGGGGTCCAAAGGGGTCTACCACATGCCGTGTCATTACTCGTTCGGTGTCTCTGTCCAATTGGCGCAGGAAATCATAAATTAAATTCGATTGTTTGACAAGGCTCGTGAAATGTTTCCATTTTGAGCGGCCGGCAGCCAGCAGCCAGCAGCAAGCAACTAGCAGCGTTCCACCGCTGTCCGTTCACCTAGGATCGGATAACATGAGCTCTACAATTAGTACTACATGCAACTGCAACTGCATCTCCATCTCCTACACAGAGCGCTGACCAGAGTTCTTCGCGATGCCCCCAAAACGGGCATGAGACACCATCCACATTCGTGTAATGTTGGGCAATGCTTCCCCCCAAAATTGGCGTGCAGCGGAAAAATGAGACAACGTGTTCTGCCACAGAAACAGGGGCTCCAGCTACAGCTACAGTTCCAGCTCCATGTAACACGCACATAATTCATAAAACTTGCCAGAGCCATTCCTGCAGCTGGCGGGGATCTGCAGCATCTGTACCGAGTATCGCGGTGTCCATATCGCTGGGAGATTCATATGCACGCACCTTGGCGGCTTCGCCTGAATTGCCAGCTTCTCCTGTTCTCAGTTCTCTGCATATGCCATCAACACCAGTCGCCAAATGGCGTTCGTGTGTGGCAAGTGACACACGAGGCGATGCAGCACAGCTGGAAGCGTCGTCGTCGTCGTCCACTCCACTCCACTCCAGTTCCAGCTTCAGCTTCAGCACTGGCAGTGGATGCAGTGCTGTGTGCTGTGTGGTGTGCCAACAATGCCTACAAATGGTGGCTATCTATCAGTGTGCAGCACACAGTGGAGATGGCAGCGTGTCACGTGAAGGAGAGCCAAGATCTGGAAATATACTCTTGAAATCGAACATCTCTGACTATTATTTCTTTCAGAGATATGCAGGAGGCAGCACAGCAGACTCTTGATGACGTTGTTAGGTTTATTGCTTGTCGTTTAGATTACTTTAGTTCGGTTTCGGTTTCCGTTTCGTTTTCGTATTAGTATTAATATAGCTATGCACTAGACGTCCTCCGCTTCGATTCACACTGACTTTAAAACTTACTTTAATCACTAATAGCAGAATGGGGTTCTTAGCGCTAAGTAGATTATTAGATCCACACGGGCCGCTGCTATGAGCGGATGCTACCCAGCAGCGGTGTGCTCTCGGCAGCCTTTGAGGTAATCACGTTATGGCGGGCGCTCGATGCAGCCGGCGGTTGCGGAGGAGCACCGCCTGGCCCTGGTGGCCGTTGCCAATGGCTGGGCCCTGGCTGCTCGTCCTCCATCTCAACGATGCGCGACTGTCGCGCCTTGCGCTTCTGCTGGCTCACCTCGTGAAGGTAGAGGGCGCTAAGGCACATGTCCGCCACGCCCACACTCATGGGATTCTTGGAGAGCCGCGGCTCCACCCCGTAGAGGCTGTAGAGGAGCGTGTCTGCGGGTCCCTCGAGGCGGCCTTCAGCCTTGCTCAGTCGCAGGCGTCGCATACTGTCCAGGGGTCCCACGCTGGCGGTCAGATTCTGCTGCAGCATTTGGCGGAAATCGCTGCCAGCGACGGGGAAGCCTCCGGGGCGAAGGGACTGGGAGAGCTCCATCTGGGCGGGACTCAGCTGGGCGGCCAAAACCGAATTGGCTATGGAGCAGTACTCCTCGCCAATGGTGCCGAATGAGATCAGGCTGTGGGTGAGCGGATTCTCATGCATGGCCGAGGTCTTGGCCTGTACCAGCTCCTCGATGGCGTGCTCCCGAATGCCCTTGATGAACAGCGAAGCCTCCTTGGGCATCTGCCACTCGGGATTGTTGAGCGTGAAGCGGACCAGCGACATCTCAGTCTTACCGCCGACCAGACTCGTCTGCTGCGGCTTGGCGAGCTCCTCCAGGTCGCTGTTTAGCTGCCAGTCGGGATTGCCGTGCTTGCGCACATCCATCTGGGCGAACGAGCAGACGTTGCCCACTCCGCGCACCGAGACCGTAAAGGTTCTGAAGAACTTGACAATCTCCATGGCCTTGGGCCGGAACACGAAGATCAGAACGAAGGGAGTCACGAACGGACTGAAGATCTCGCTGAGCAGGTAGCCCGCCTTGAACTGGAAGAAGTTGCTGAACTCATTGCGGACCAGTGCCGTGTGGGCATGTTGCTTCCACTCCGTGGGCAGGTAATGGACGTGGGCGAGGATGGCTGTCATCAGCTGTTCGGGACACCAGATCATGTTCTCGTCGGGAATCAGGGTGCGGCAGACGACGCCCACCACAGTGAGAACGGCTATGATGCTGAGGACATGCTCCACCTGGAAGACGTGCTCCTCGTAGATGCCAAAGGCCAGTATCAGCAGCAGAATGCCTCCGCTCACGAACAGCAGATTGCGGGCTATCACAGCGGCCAGCGGGGAGGAGAAGGAACTGAGGTAGCGGTCGGCATACTCGTAGGCGCGGTTCAGTCTCGCATCGAGCTCGTGATCCAGCTCGTTGAAGTGGCGCAGATAGAGGCGTCCGTAGTTGGACCAGGTCCGCAGACCCAACGCACTTGGGTCCTTCCGCAGGATGTTGGCGTAGGAGAAACTAAAGTAGATGAGCTGCCAGATGAAGATCACAGGTGCCAGTAGGAGATTGACCAGGGCCACGCCCAGTATTAGCTTGGACAGGCGCTGGGCCAACTCCGTTTGGTTACTTCTCACCGCGAACTCGTCCCTCAGCTGCCAGTTGTTCTGGAAGGGCGATCCGGGCCCACGGAACAGGATGAAGTCGATGTTGAACAGCATCCCCCGGCTGAGGGAGCATATCTCGCCCAGAAACGGCAGGTGGAAGCGCACGGGCAGCAGCTGCTTGTTCATCAGGGCCACCAGATAGTTCTTGAACCGCAGCACGCGATGGTAGATGTCCAGCTCCGTGAGGGACTCCTTGTCAATGCACATATGCTGCTCTGCCTGCACTCTGCGAATGCGCTGCTGCACCTCGTGCCAGGTGGTGTTGTCCAGGTCAGTGTCCTCGACGCCCAGGGCCGTGTTGTAGAACTTCTTGATGTCCGCATATTGAGTGATGTGATAGATCATCTTGAGCACCCGAAAGCCCAAGTAGATGGCAGCTATGAATATGATAAGGTAGGCGAACCAGCTGAATTTGATCACACACTCCCCGGTGGGTATGATCACATCGCTGAGTGTAGTTTTGGAGTGGTTCCCCGGGGGGAGGGCGTCCCCGAAGAGCACGTCGTGCCTGATGCAGTACGTCACGAAGGTGAGCAGCCAGACAACAAAGCCAAACTCCAGCACCTGGAACACCTCGTCCAGGACAATCACCTGAAAGCCGTGCTTTTGCTGGTAGTTGTACATGCGGGAGAAGAACGAGTCAAGGTCCTCGATGTGGTTCCATCGTGCCCTGCCCGTCTCTGGCACCATGTGTATCATGATGCCACTGTTGCGTGGAGTGTCTTCGTTCTCTGGCTCATGGTCGTTGAGGGGGTCTAAATGCGCAGCAGCTGTAAATGATTTTGCGTCGTCCGCTTTTGTTGTTGCTTCGTCATGTTGCTCGGTCTCTCGAAACGGATTCGCCTCGGCCAAGGAGCTGTAGTTAATATTTGGGCTTGACATCATGCACCAAGCCCAAGGTCAATTGGCTAACTTATTTATATCACTTTGGTGTCTATATAGTATAGGTAAAATGGAAAATTCGCTCGTCTTTCTTTGTTTGATTTTACTGAACCTTCCTAAACTAGGGCTGGCAAACCACGTATTGTTTCCATTTGGTGGGCATCAGCTGTTCGAATCGATGACAACAACCAATCGATATCGATTCAATTGGCAACAGTTGGCAGCTCTACGGCGGCATTGCAAAGTAAACAATTTCGAGTAATTTTATTGTTTGAATAAAAATAGCAACAAATTAGCAAAAATGGGCAAACGACAGCACCAAAAGGATAAAATGCAAGTCACATCAATTTTTACCACAGAATGCAATCAATCTAACAACCACCCAATTCCACAGGTACTTGACGTACACGGAGTGGAGCGAGTTGTACGGTGGCAAGAAAACGGAATCCGCGGAGAACGACCATGTTAAATTCAAGCGGTTGCCGTACGAACACTGCTCCATCACGATGGCTCCCTACGAGATGCCCTACTGCGACATCAACGGCAATGTCTTCGAGTATGAAGCGATATTGAAGTTTTTAAAAACGTTTAAGATCAATCCCATAACAGGCCAGAAAATGGATTCAAAGTCGTTGGTGAAGCTAAACTTTTACAAGAACGCTACCGATGATTACCACTGCCCCGCCCTGTTCAAGCCCTTCACCAAGAACTCGCACATCGTGGCCGTGGCCACGACGGGCAATGTCTACTGCTGGGAGGCCATTGATCAGCTGAATATCAAGACCAAAAACTGGAAGGACTTGGTGGATGACACACCGTTCCAGCGCAAGGATATCATCACCATACAAGATCCGCAAAAGCTTGAGAAGTTCGATATATCCACGTTCCACCACATACGCAAGAACTTGCGTGTGCTGTCAGAGGAGGAGCTGCTGGAGCGCAAAGATCCGGCCAGCGGGCGCATTAAGACCATGAATCTGGAAACAAAAGAGACCTTGGCACAGCTGCAAAAGGACTATCAGCCTGCCGAAGAGGCACCATCCACCTCCAAGCGCACAGCAGACAAATTCAATGCGGCTCATTATTCCACTGGCGCTGTTTCCGCCAGCTTCACATCCACAGCCATGATGCCTGTCTCTCAGATTGAGGCGGCCATCATTGACGACGATTTGGTGAAATACGAGCGGGTGAAGCAGAAGGGCTATGTGCGACTAAACACCAACTTTGGCCCCTTAAACATTGAGCTCTACTGCGATCAGATACCACGCGCCTGTGACAACTTCATCAAACACTGCGCCGATGGCTACTTTAACAATGTATTGTTCCACCGATCCATTCGGAACTTTATCGTAGGTACACGCCAGGGATATATCAAATCAAAGAATAACCAAATGTCGTTTTCAGGTTCAAGGTGGCGACCCCACAGGCACCGGCTCGGGTGGTGAATCTATCTGGGGCAAGAAGTTCGAAGATGAATTCAAGCCGAACCTGACGCACACGGGACGGGGAGTTCTGTCCATGGCGAATTCGGGACCCAGCACAAATGGCTCTCAGTTGTGAGTGGAACAATATGCGACTGTATGCGACTCCTTGCTCATTTTGCTTCCCTTTGTTTCCAGCTTCATCACCTATCGATCCTGCAAACATCTCGATGGCAAACACACCATATTTGGCAAGGTCGTTGGCGGCCTTGATACGCTCCAAAAAATAGAAAACATCGAAGTGGACAACAAAGATCGACCAATCGAGGATATTGTAATTGAAAATGCCCAGGTCTTTGTTAATCCCTTTGCTGATGCCGTCGAACAGCTGGCCAAGGAGCGGGAGAATGAAGCGGCCAGCGTACAGGAGACGGCTGAAAAGGCCGAACAGCAGAAACGTCTCAATGAGCCGCTCAAGGTCTACAGGGAGGGCGTGGGCAAGTACCTAAAACTGAATGCCGCGCCCAAGAAACCAGAGTCTCCGCTCCTAGCAGCCAAGAGGAAGAAGCTTGCAGGCGGTTTTGGTGATTTCTCTAGCTGGTAGTTGCTTCACTTACCATTGCCCACGAATATGTCAACCGAGAAGATTGTGTTTTAGCATACAAATTTAGTTTGGATTTTTATTTGTCGTTGGGTCCTTCTGCTCCATCTGTTCGCTCCCTCTCTTGCCAGCTCTTCTTCATCTCCTGCATTTTGCTCTGCCGTCGTCGCCGCTCCGTGGACTTTCTTTGCTCCAGTACTTTGATCTGTGCCGCAATCGAGTTTTCTCCATTAAAATGGGCATCGAGTTTGTCTAGGAGCAGTCTTCGTGCCTCTACGCGATTTTTGGATGCCAGTCGATGTGTGTGACACTTGATGGTGATGTTGGTGGGCAGGTGTCGCAGGAATACGCAGTTGGATGTCTTGTTCACCGCCTGACCCCCGGGTCCACTGCCGCGCATGAAGGTCTCTTCGATTTCCGACTCTTGCAGCGTTGGGAAGCGCGTGTAATCCAAGTTAGCAGTGGACTTGCTGCGCACAGCCAGTGGAGGAAGAGCCAACCGGGAAACCAAGGCTCGTATCATCCCTACAGTATGCGTCCCTTCTTCAGCAGGGTCTCTCCACGCTGCGCAAAGGTAAAATTTAGTTATGAAATATCTAACCAGACACCTGCACGTACCCTGAAGTTGAACTCGATTTCCGTAGGACTTGTTAACTGGCGACTGTCCCGGAACTCGTGCCGCACGCGCCCCAGAAAATAGTTCTTGTCCGTCAGCTTCAGATGATTGCCGTATCGGATGAGGTGTTTATATAGCCGGAGAATCTGCTGTCGAGATGGTTGAAACATTTTATTTTATTTTAGCCGCTTCCCTCCCATGCGACTGATAACGTAACGCCAAAACAACACAAGTTGGCAGCACCACAGGCAATCAGCTGCTCGGACGGTGAGCGAAACTGAGTGCAAAAGGAAATTGAAGAAAAACAAAAATCGTACGCAATTAAGAAAAAAACAAGATAATTCGAAATGGAGTAGGTTGAATTAATTTATTGGATACAATTATGAGAACTAATTGACATTGGGCATCGCCTCGTCGATTGGAACATTGTACGTTCGACTCAACTCAAACATTTCCTTCAGTTGATGCGCGATTTCCCGGTCCACTATTTCACCGCCTGATGTCATAGTGTTCTCAATGATATCCTCGTCGGAAACCGGAAGGTTGATCATTTCCTCCGACGACAAACCTGACGGTTCGACGAGTGAGAAGAGGAAGTACGCCGTGATGGCGACACTGTGCGGCAGGAAGCGAATGTACTCCTTCAGAAGCTCCGTCCGGCTGGAAAAAAGAAACATTAATAAATGCCAGTTAGATGCCTCGCGTATACCTACTTCATAAACTCTGGCACCTCGTCCTCCGCGTGCTTCCTGTAGCTGTCGTAGAGAGCCGAGCAGTAGTCGTCGAAAATGGTATCGAAATGGGTGTAGCGCACATCCGCATAGACGGAGATGGCCAGGAAGACGGACAGATCGATCATGGGCGAGGACACCCGCAGTGTCTGGTAGTCGAACATCATGATATCCTGTGGCTCCTCCATGCCTTCGTACTTGTAGGCCACATTATTCCGCACATAGTCACCATGGCAGAGAGTCGCCAGCGGCTCCCTTGGCGCCACACGCTGGCGTCCAAACTTTGTGTAATCGGCTATCAGGAGACCGAACTGCTTCACAAAATCCTCACCCACTTGGGGCTGGTAAGTGGCCACAGCCTGGGCAGCGCGCTTCACACTAGTCTTCAGCTTTAACAGGAAGTCGTGGTGCAAACTTTCATTGGAAAATCGAGATTCCCTGAGGTTTTTGGTCATATTCTGAAACTGCTCGATATTTTTGTGCTTGATGGCGTAGGCAAAGCCATGGAATTTGCCCAAGTACTTCACTGCAACGCGAGCATGCTCTAGGCTAAGGCCCACCCGGTCCTTGGCAACGGTCCAGCCCTCCTCAGCAAAGTCACTTAATATGACCATCGCCGATAACGGATTCAGCTCACTGTAGTAATACTTGGGGGCGGCGAACTCTCCACCGGCCATCTTTTGTATTTGGGGCAGGATTTTCGTATAGAACTCGATCTCATTGCCGAAGAGATATTCGAACTGAATTGACTTGTACATCTCTGGTGGAATCCTGGGAGTTTTCTATAAAAACAAAACATGCATTGCCCCTCCGCATGAGTTGGTTTATCTTTGTTTTTCTTGAATTAACATTAATATAAATGACTATACATATATACCCATATAATAAATTTAATCTTCTGCGCAGACAGCAACACGTTATCGTAATGTATAAACACAGAGATACGGGCTACAGCTACATTACCTTTTATTTATTTCGTGCCTACGATATGACCAAATTATAATTACGATATTACCTTAACGACCATTTTCCGCTCAAACTGCTCGCCGTCGTATTCAAAGCGGACGGTCGTCCGATAGCAGAGGGTCAGCATGAAGGCCTCCTTGGGCCCAATCACATCCACATCGATGTCTCCCACCCGGAATGTGTCCGCCTTCGACGCACTGTAGTTATCCAGCAGTCTGCCGCTCTCCAGAATCTTTGGCAGAATGGTTAGCGCGCAGCCATTGGGACTCCGTCTCAATCAACGACATGTTAGTATATATTACACAGAATGGCACCGATCGGCGTCACGTTCAGCGAATAACTGAACGATCGTATGCCGTGCCCCTGCTTTTGTACTCTTTTAGATATGATCGTGTTCGTGATGAAATGGGAGATAAAAAAGAGCTGCTTGGAGAATAAATCAGAACCACTACGAATCTTTCGAGAGAGTTCGGCAAAGGAGTAAATATACATGAATATACAGAAGAAAACGAGTATATCGGGTATAGAGATAGTAACAATTGTTTGTGTTTAATTCAGTTAATTAGACCTTGGGCAACGCATCCACATCGATGCCATCCTCGATTGGGACATTGTACTTTCGACTCAACTCAAACATTTCCTTCAGCTGATGCGCGATTTCCCTATCAACTATCTCGCCGCCTGCTTTCATAGTGCGCTCAATGACTTCCTCGTCCGAAACCGGAATGGTAAACATTTCTTCCGGAGACAAGTCTGATGGTTCGACGAGTGTGGAGAGGAAGCTGGCCGTGATGGACACACTGTAGGGCAGGAAGCGGATGTACTCCTTCAGAAGTTCCGTCCGGCTGGGAAAAAAACCATCAAGAAACATTAATAAATGCCAGTTGGATGCCTCGCGTATACCCACTTCATAAACTCTGGCACCTCGTCCTCCGCGTGCTTCCTGTAGCTGTCGTACAGAGCCGAGCAGTAGTCGTCGAAAATGCTATCGAAATGGGTGTAGCGCACATCCGCATAGACGGAGATGGCCAGGAAGACGGACAGATCGATCATGGGCGAGGACACCCGCAGTGTCTGGTAGTCGAACATCATGATATCCTGTGGCTCCTCCTTGCCTTCGTACTTGTAGGCCACATTATTCCGCACATAGTCACCGTGGCAGAGAGTCGCCAGCGGCTCCCTTGGCGCCACACGCTGGCGTCCGTACTGTATATAATCGGATATTAAGAAGCCGAAATTCTTCACAAAATCCTCATCCACTTGGGGCTGGTAAGTGGCGACAGCCTGCAAAGCGCGTTTAACACTCGCCTGCAGCGTCACAAGGTATTGGGGATGCGTGGTGTCATTGGCATATCGGGACTCCTTCAGGTCTTTGGTCAGCTCGTCGAACTTTTCCAGATTCTTGTGCTTGATGGCGTATGCAAAGCCGTGGAACTTGCCCAAATACTTGACTGCAACGCGAGCATGCTCCAGGCTGAGGCCCACCCTTCCTTGGTCACCCTCCAGCCATTCTCAGCAAAGTCACTGAGAATGACAATCGCCGAATAGGGATTGAGTTCGCTGTAGTAATACTTGGGTACCGCAAACTTTCCATCCGCCACTTTTTGTATCTGGGGCAGAATTTTCGTATAGAAATCGATCTCGTTGCCGAATAGGCCTCCAAACTGTATTGACTCGTACACTTCTGGTGGAACCATGGGGGTTTTCTGCAACAAAAACATCAAAGTTCATATCAGCATTATAGAGGGGGTGCCAAAAACGAAACAGTCACGATTGCTGGTAGTTTGTTAATCATTGGTAGACATTATTTTCGATTAACCGAACGCTTAAACGTAGATCTATAGATCCATCAACCCCTGATAACATATCAATATTTGTTGACACTTTCGCACCATTGGAGATTGGGAGCTACCATTTGAATAGAACACCTTAATCTTATCTTATCTATTCGAATTTTGGGCTACCTTCTCGCAGAAAGATGAATTCATTGCCACAATCTGTTATCCCAGACCTGAACCGGTTATGTGATGTGAATAGAGAAATACGGTCTGCACTGCTCACTCAATTGACTTCTATTTCGTGTGTACGATATACATATGACGACATTATAGTTACCTTAACAACCATTTTCCGCTCAAACTGCTCGCCGTCGTATTCAAAGCGGATGGTCGTCCGATAGCAGAGGGTCAGCATGAAGGCCTCCTTGGGCCCAATCACATCCACATCGATGTCGCCCACCCGGAATGTGTCCGCCTTCGACGCACTGTAGCTATCCAGCAGTCTGCCGCTCTCCAGAATCTTTGGCAGAATGGTAGCGCGCAGCCATTGGGACTCCGTCTCGATCAGCGACATGTTAGTATATCTTACACAGAATGGCACCGATCGGCGTCGCGTTCAGCGAATAACTGAACGATCGTTTGCCGTAAAAAAGCATTCGGACGCTTCGGCTCGGTCAACATCGTGTTCTCATCGGCTTCTCTGAGATTAGACGCAACTGATTGAACGAAAATAAATCGGGGCCGCTCCGAAACAGGCAAGAGTGAAATAATGATGATAACTGTTGTGAATCGAACTCAGAACACAATTGTATTATCTTCAAAATTCAAAATTTTATAATGGGAATTTCAGAAAAAATGCAAAGCAAATGGTACATGCTCTCCCTGACCGGGTCGCTGAGTAAGGTCAACACCTTTGTGAGAAAGTATACAGACCAATCGGAGCGCGGTGGTGTGCTCATTGGCAAGAAGAACGAATGGGAAAGAAGAAATTTTAGCCAGCCGAAAGATACCTTGCCAAATGACTCCATAATCTCGAACACCAGTCGAAGCAGTGGCGACAGCAGTCGCAGGACAATGAAGAGAAGCAACAACTCCAAAACTCTCGATGTTAGAATCGAATGCAAGAGGGCAAAGTGCGACGAGAAGGCTGTTGTAGCAGACTCTCCTCGCATGCGGGAGTTCTTCAAGGAAGTTAAACAGCGGGAACTCAAGGAGTACTACCTCCGGATGAGGGCCGCCCAAAGAATGTCACAGCAAATCGAAAGGCGAACGGAGCGCGACATAATGCACAATGTATACTGCAGGGGACCCAAAAAATTGTGTTAAGGACAGTGGAGGGGTGGGGAGGGGAGCTGGGCTGACGATGGAGAGAGCTCTTCCGGCGCATATTCAATCGAAGTTTGAATATGTCGGAAGTAGCTCCCTTGAAATCCCCCATCCAGCTGTCTGTGCCCTTGCTGTCAGTGTCCGTTGGAGAGTGTCCGTTCATTCGGTCTCAGTTAGACTCACAATCAAAATCCCCTGTACTTTAAGCCCTATTTTCCGATTTCTATTGCCCTGGTTCCACAGCCGGCACTGGCCTTAAGATGTACTCGCATCCGAAACAAGCGTCCCATGGGACTCAGACCCTGCCGCAGCCGAGCCCCAAGCCCGTGTGCGTACCGCTGCTGATGGTCGACGAGGATGGAAAGAAGCGCTACTGCTACCATGGCGGCAAGTGCCGGTGCGATACCTGTCAGAAGATGCGCGAGCAGCAGGCGGATCAGCTGGACGAGCAGCTATTGGCCGCCCTTCCACACAGTCGCTTGCAGCTGGTGCCGGCGTTGCGTCAGGTGAGGCCAAAGCAATACCGCTTGGACGCCATTTACGCCACACCCGAACTGGCCAAGTATCTGAGCGACGAGCACGAGGAGCTGCGCAAGAAGTATAAGACCTACTATCTGCCCGATAGGTACTTCCAGGTGAATGCCTGGAAGGTGCCCGGGCCGCAGCACAAGCAGACCCAGACGGACATCCGCATCGGCAACTACGGCATCGACGGTTGTCCGTGCGTCGACAAATCTCTCTGCTGGGACATCTAGCCCTTGGGCTCACTGAATTGTGGGAGAGTAGGGGGAATGGATCTGTAGCCAATCGGACAATAAACAGTGCAGGGTGAGGAGCGGAATAGTTGGTTTTTTTATTAGCTCTTCTCATCGAGTTACTTCTGGCCAGGCAGCCCTGGAAGAGACATCAGTATTTGTATCAGAAAAAAAATTAATACAGTTATCCAATAGAATCCAAATTTATAGAATGCTGCGTCGCCTTAGAAACACCAGGATCCAGTCCATTGCACAGCTCAATCGCTGCTGCCGATACCTGGCTGATGCTCCTCCAAAGTCCTCGGATCCATATGTCATCACCACGGGTCTCACTGCCAACGTGGCAAAGGGGCAAATGCGTTCCATGCCGGTGAGCGCGCTGCCCCGCTCCAAGTATGGCGGCATCACCCATATTTCTCTGCTCACGGGCAGCACGATCATTGGCCAGCAGGGAGCCAAGTTTGTGACAGCTCTGCTCCATAGCACGCGGGTGCCAGTGGAGCTGCAGCGTATTGCCTCCGACCAGGAGGAGGAGTACTTCAATTCGGTGCTGCGTAATCATGCCGCAGTCCATGTGGACATCCTGTGCGATAGCGAGGCGAAGAAGAAATCCCTCAAGATCTGCAACGACCTGGATCTGTACGTGTTCATGACGCGCCTGCGCAGCTTTCCCGGTTTCAAGTGCCGCTTCCCGGACGTGGACATTCAGTTTATAGCCCAGAACAACATCGGCAACTACGCGGAGCTCGAGTACTCCCCCGTCAAGGGTGTGGTGGAGGCCCTGCGCGTGGTCACCCATGAGAGCATGACAAAGTATCTGCGGCACGCCTTTAAGGCTGCGATCCGTGCCGGCCGCTGTCGCGTCACCCTCATCCACAAGGCCAACGAGTGGCCAGTGACCGATGGAGCGATGGTGGAAATTGCACAGAAGATGCACGCGAAGCACTACAGCTCCATCAAATTGGAGCTGATGGAGCTGGACGATTGCGTGCACCGGATAATCACCGATCCCGCCTATTTCGACACCATCTTCACCAACGATCGCTATGCCACCTTCCTGGCCACCATTTGCAGTAGTGTTGCCGGAGGCGCCAATCTCTTTAGTGCAATCGAATTGGGCGACAGTCATGCCGTGTTCAAGCCCCTCCAGACCAAGCTATCGCTGACCAACTACTCGCTCCTCAGTCCCTACGGCATCGTGTCCACCTGTGTGGATCTACTGAACCATGTGGGCCACGAGGGCTGCGCCAAATCCCTGTGGAAAGGGATGCTTCGCACCATGGACGAGGGTGTCAAGAGTGTCGAGTTCGACGGACCCGATACCGGTGAATATGTGATCTGCAATATCATGAACAAGTTGCGGTGCAGTGCTTTAGGGGAGAGTTCCGAGAAAAAGTGAATGCTTTGTTAATTACATTCACTAAAATTTAATTAATTACACAACAGACTTTTTCGCGAGTTATGTGAGGTGTAAATTTTGAAATGCGGGGGTATAGTGCATCGATGAGTCGTAGAAAAGGAACGAGTTATACGATGACAGGCGAAACAGCGGCCTAGCAAATAATACCTACTCCTCTTTTGGTACGTGTTCGGTTAGATATTGCGGCGCTTTATTGGGTTCCTGGACTAGATGGCAATGGCAATTAAATTTTGAGAAGTAAAGTATCGATATTACTATATTACCTGCTCCTCTTCGGTGCGTAGAGCACTCTCTTTTATGTTACTCTTGCCGTTGCTCGAGTACGACACTATTTCAACGATGTTTCTGAAGTGGACCCTTCGCTTGGTATGCAAGCTTTTATCCACAAACTTGTTCTTCTTTTTGGGATATTTCATATAATCGTAGATAATCGGTTCATCATTATCGACTGGCCCTGGAATTGCTGGTGATTCTGCCATTGCGTTGTGCACTCGTAATTCAGTTTCGCTTGGGTCTACATCCATTTCCTCCCTACTTGTGAGAAATTGTGTGTGTGTGATATTATAGTTTACCTAGTGCTAGAAAATCAATGCTACAATGATGAATGCAGCATCAAAATACAAATTCCATGTGCTCTCATTTTCATTACTCTAAGCAGAGTAATAAAATAACTATACTTACTCATGCACAATTTGAATAAAAACATAAACAACATAAACAACCTCATAAAATAAAGGATAAAAGGGGTAGGATGAGGCAGCAGAGCAACACAAATGCATCGAATGTGGGCGCCAGTTTTAGAAGTCACCCAAAAAAATACATGAGGGTAACAATCCCCCAACAGAAATCAAACCCCTCGCAAGAGGGTGTCCCTCTCTTATATTATTGCCAAATTCCCATAAAAAAAAAAAACAAATCATAATTATAATAATTTATTGGGTGTCTTTTGGGAAGTTTACACAGATAAACATTTACACATTTATGATTTACATTTACGATTTTCCTATGGAAAAAGTTTTCACCTAAGAAAACTTAAACATTTATGCTTATCTTATAAAGAACATTTACACATACACATAGTACATTTATGCTTATTCCTAGGGATATTGCATCGCTAATTAAACGTTCAGACACACATAGGGGAGAATAAGGTCATTCACACCATCGAATTTGCAGGGGGCTCCACATTTATGCAGTCGTGCTGCCATCCGTTGGGTCACGGCTCCGCCATCTCGATGGCCTTGGTATTATTCCACTTGGACCTGATCGCGTTGCAAATCATCATGCAGGTGAACAGGGACAGCTCGAGGACACGGCACAGTACGAAGTAAGTTATCTCCATCAGATCGTCAGTGGCTCCTAAATAGACACACATTTTGCGATTACTTTTCTGTTGCACTTTTTTTTGCCAACGATTTTGTTAAGCTTGCAGTTCCACTCGGCTCGCCTGTTGGAGGACACCAATGTCTATGGAAGCTGAATGATTTCGGGAATGGCAACGCTCTGAAGGTTGGGGTCCCGTTATATCCTGCCCTGTTGCTGTATCAGCCAGCACACGAAGGACTTTGTCGGCTCGGTGTGTGCGAGAGCGAACGCAAAGTGTGTTGATATAGGGTGAGAGCGCTCTCCCGTTATTTTTCAAGCAGGAGAAGTATGTACTAGTATTTGTTGGTATCAAATACTTGCGGCTATGACTATTAATTATGCTTCAATCAAATATCAATGCCTATCAGTTTCGATTATAGTCGGCGCATGCATACAAACGTAGATAGTAGATATGCAGAGCGGGCGAGAGAGTCAACAAAAGAAGGCCTCACCTTAAGCAAACCTAACAAAGAGCGAGAGAGAGTGGGAGCAAGAGCGTGGGTGTGAGAAAGAGTAGAATATGACGGGACATGCGCAAACATGTTCCCGGCACATGCAGTTCTGCAGGGAATGAGCTCCCCAGCTTCTGCAGCTATCTGTCTCTATTGCACCTATCACAGAAGTACTGCAAATGCATTCCAAAGGTAAAATGGGATATTTCAGGTATAAATACATGCATACACACGCATGTACATACATATGGAGGGATATTTATTTGATAGATATTTAATGGGATGATGTTCAATCCAAGAACTGGCGAGACAACAAATGTCGTGTCTGAAATGGATTCATTGTACTCTCCAAGGACTGCTACTGGCAGTAGTATTGGCCCTGCAGTCAACACTTCGAGCCTTGACCATATGGCTGTGGCTGTGGCCTGGAGTTGGGCCTCCTGGGCTCAGTGCAACATATGGTCACTAGACACGAGCCAGAATGCAGTTCAAGCAGCGAGTTAATTGATGGCCCAGGCCCAGGCCAGCCAGTAGCTCATCCTCGTCGAAGTTCTCTCCCCTCTCCAAAACTCCCTGGCTGGTGTGTGCTGTTGAGCGTGAAAGTCACAAATTACAAAAAGAGAAAAGAGAGGAAGATCACATGCCATGATAGCGCCAATTTGGCAAGCTATGACGCGTGCCAGAGCAGTGCAGCGCAAAGAAGAGTGAATGAAAGGCCGAAGAGGAACAAAGTGTAGGCGTGCGCAAGGGAGCGAAAGAGCGAGCGTATTTTCTAACCCCTAACTGGCAGCGACTGCGGCAGAGACGTCGACAGAGAGTAGCCGCCCCTGCTGACGATCCTTCGGATATGGTAATGGCTTTGAGGATCCTGTGAGAGGGGCAAGGGGTCATTTGCGGGCCATTTACACAAACTTGGTCAGCGCAGCGGTAAAAATATTTGTAAAGCCATCCCGTCCCATCCCATACGATCCATCCCTTTCGAGGGTTTCCCGATCTGAGGGCCCGTGCTGTTCCATGCAGCAGCAGCAGAAGTCGGCGCGGCAGTTGCGGTGGAACTTTCGAGCCGTGCAGAAGCCAGAGCCATGAGCTACTACTATTCATCCGAGGAGGACAACAACAGCTCCCAGTACTTGGGCAGCCCCAACTACAATCTGACGCCGATGGTAGGCCCCACGCAGGAATACAGCCATGCCGCCTACCTCTCTCCCGACTGGCAGTTCCTGGATGTAGCAGACGGAGCTGGCCTTGAGCTGCCCTCGGCCACCCACTCCATTGCCCTTGAGATGCGCACAGAGGCGGGTGTGGACCATGCCAAGAGGCGCAAGTGCGACGGCTCGAGCAGATCGGAGGGCGAGTGCCAGGCGGTCGGCCAAGAGACGGTCGTTCTCAGTCCCACCGTGCAGAAGAGACGACGCCAGGCGGCCAATGCTCGGGAAAGAAAACGGATGAACGGCCTCAACGAGGCCTTCGACCGCTTGCGGGAGGTGGTCCCAGCCCCGTCCATCGACCAGAAGCTGTCCAAGTTCGAGACTCTGCAGATGGCCCAATCCTACATTCTGGCCCTGTGCGACCTCCTCAACAACGGCGACGTGGATGTCGATGCGGCCACCTACACTCTGTTTGGGAGCGGAAATGGAAGCGGAAGCGAGTGCAGCTTCCACTTGAGCCACGGTTAAGCTATACGCGATGTTAGACTTAAGCTTTTGTGATTCTCCCACCTAACTCTAAATTAAGTTTAAATAAATAAAAACGAAACGAAACCAGTGAGATGCCTGTGAAATCAATTGGCCAGCAGATCGTTGGTTACGCCTCAATGGATTCGAAAATGCTCATAAATTAATTACTGAAAAGTTCATTGATAGGAAAACAATGAGTGCCAGTCCCCGTACCCGTACCCGTCCCCGCCCCGACCCACTACGGAGTCCGCTGCCACCGCGCTTTGCAGTGGAGCGTAACACCCTCGCGACTCTTGTCGCCCGGCCAGGGATCTCATTGAATAAAAGGCAGCTGAGTCCTGCGGCTTCGGTTGGTTGCTGTTCTTTACTATGATACCCTGGTACATTGGCTGGGGCAGAGAACTATGTGTGAAGAAATAACAGCTATGGCTGGAGGGTTATGCTGCAGGGAATTCAACCGCTTGGAATCAGCTTAAATTTGGCTTTTTCATCGGCTTCGGACTAATATGCGGCTCGCTGTGCTGAACTTTGACGTACTGCATCTGCACATCATCCAGGCCGAGAGAGTTCTTGGAGGGTCGAAAGCCCAGGACGGGTGGGAGCAGGACGATTACCTCTTGATTGGACTTTGGGCTCGGATTGTTGGTGAGCAGTACGGTGCGGTTCTCCGCCAAGATTGAATTTGTCTCATGGATTGGCCGCTGGATGGACGTTTGGGTATGGACCATTGATGTCATCGGCTTGGTTTTTGGCTTACGTGGCATCTTAGGAGGAGACCTGTCGTTTTTCTTGCTGCTGCTGTTTTTGGGGTTCTTCTGGATGAGTTCTTTTGGTGGCTTGCGGTCCACTATCGACTTGTTAATGTGCTGCTTGATAATGGTCATGGTGGTCTCTGCGGCGACTGGTGGCACTAGATAGGAGCCAAGGACGGAGAGACCCTCCGTTTTCCTCGGATATGATTGGTGTGGGGGCCTGGTACTGGCCCAAGACAAAGTCTCGAAGCCGGAGCACTGCCGCGGGGAGCAGGGCCCCCTCTTCGCAGACTCTTGTCTTGGGCAGTCTCTGTGGGCACTTATCCTACGAAACTTAGCTTCGGGCACAATAATCAGATACTGATTCGCTTCATCATCATCCTGTAATTGGCAAATGTAGTATGAAGCCAAGCGTAAATCAAAGGGCTTACTGGGTCCACCATCAGAGTCGGTGCGTTTCATGGATCTCCTACCGCTGATTTGACAATAGGGTCTGCCACATGGACCGCTGCTACTTCTTGCCGGAATGGCCTTCTTTGCCGTTTCTTCCGGGTTAGAGCAAGACCTGAGCCTCGACTTCGGGAACGCATTGGACCGAGCTGCAATGGCCTGACACCGCGGACACCTTACTCCCGCCGGCAATGTCGATGTCTTGGCAACATACTGAGCGCGTGGCTTCCTCTGGGCGGGCATTACGCCTTGCGCAGTATTATTCTGGCCACGTTGAGCCTTAGGTTGAGTGTCTTCGGCCGACTCCATGGAAAGATCCTTATCTACCGGCTTGGGGCTTTTAGACTCAGTCTCATCTGTTGTCTCCTTCTTTATAAGCTCATCCGCTTGTTTCTCGTCTGTTGGATCCTCCGCCTGTTTCTCGTCTGTTTGGTTGTCCTCTTTATGCTCGCTATCATAAATACTAGAAGAGTCATCCACATCAACCTTACTTTTCATCTGGTTCTTCTTTTCAGATACACTTTCAGGCCCTGTATTATCCCCACGTATAGCATTTTTGGTATTTTTACTGTTCCCAGGTTCGTTTCGATTGTTTTTCCTACTTGGACACTCCACCCCACATTCGAAATCACAGTACTCACTGTCACTGCCAACATTCTCTTGGTCTTTTCTTCCCGTCCCATTGGCCTTCTTTGTACATTCATTGGGATCCCGTTCACAATCAACAGCATCCTCGTAGTCGGATTCACTGCTCTCTTCGTTCACATAATTCTTAGCCGCACTGTTCCCTTTGCGTGTGTTTTTCTCTGGCTCTTCAACATCGTTTCCAACTCCCTTCATATTTTCCATCTTAAAGTCTGCATTGGTATCCCTTTCATCATCCTTCCTATTGTTCTTAATGCGGTCTCTCTCTGATGCGGCAAACTCAGGCTCATCGTCGCAAAGGCATTCATCAATTTCGAATGGATCTATTGGCATTGGCTGACGGCCGTTCTGACTATTTCTTTTCGATGAGGCAATCTCTGGAGCAATTCGCTCTTGCTGGCGATCGTTTTGCCTGCTTCTCTTAGCTGAGGTACTCTCTGGAACCATGGGCTCATCCTCGCAGGGACATTCATCAGCTTCATCAACAATGGGCTTGTTCCCACGGCTGTTTAGGCTGGTTCTTTTTGGTGAGGCAATCTCTGGACCAGTTGGCTCTTCCTGCCGATCTTCTGGGCTCCTGGGCTCATCCCGACGACTGTTTCGGCTGGCTCTTTTTGATGAGGCGATCTCTGGAACACTGGCCTCATTCTGACGGCTGATTCTCTTTTCTGACCCAATTTCTGGAACCTCGCCATCAGGACGCTCGTTTGCCAACTCCTCTGGCTGTTGGGCCCGACTCCGCCCTCTCTCTGGGCTCCCGGCTGGCTCTTGGTGGCCCCTTGCTCCCTGGGCCTGCTTCCTGCTCCCCTTTATGGCTGATCTCTTTTCTACCCAACTTCTGGAACCATTCGGCCATCAGGACGCTCGTTTTGCCAACTCCTCTGAGCTGAAATTTCTGGGACCCTGAACTCAACCTCGCAGAGACATTCATCAGCTTCATCAATCATGGGCTTGTTCCCACGGCTGGATCTCTTTGGTGAGGCAATCCCTGGACCAGTTGGCTCTTCCTGCCGATCTTCTGGGCTCCTGGGCTCATCCTGACGACTGTTTCGGCTGGTTCTTTTCGATGAGGCGATCTCTGGAACACTGGCCTCATTCTGACGGCTGATTCTCTTTTCTGACCCAACTTCTGGAACCATTCGGCCATCAGGACGCTCGTTTTGCCAACTCCTCTGAGCTGAAATTTCTGGGACCCTGAACTCAACCTCGCAGAGACATTCATCAGCTTCATCAATCATGGGCTTGTTCCCACGGCTGGATCTCTTTGGTGAGGCAATCCCTGGACCAGTTGGCTCTTCCTGCCGATCTTCTGGGCTCCTGGGCTCATCCTGACGACTGTTTCGGCTGGTTCTTTTCGATGAGGCGATCTCTGGAACACTGGCCTCATTCTGACGGCTGATTCTCTTTTCTGACCCAATTTCTGGAACCATTCGGCCATCAGGACGCTCGTTTTGCCAACTCCTCTGAGCTGAAATTTCTGGGACCCTGAACTCAACCTCGCAGGGACATTCATCAGCTTCATCAATCATGGGCTTGTTCCCACGGCTGGATCTCTTTGGTGAGGCAATCCCTGAAGCAGTTCCCTCTGGCTGGCGGCCGTTTTGCCTAATTCTCCTAGCTGAGGTACTCTCTGAAACCATGGGCTCATCCTCGCAGAGGCATTCATCAACTTCGACTAGGTCCATTGGCTTTTCTTGGCTACGATACATTTTGTTTGAAGTCGGTGTGGATTTGGGCTGGCGGTCTTCTTGACTATTTATCATCGATGAGGAAGTCTCTGGAACATTTAGGTTTTGAAATGGACACGATTCATTATTGCAAGGAATTTCCTCAAATCCTCTGGATTGTGGTGGATTCTGCGCAGGCTCGTCTCGTTGATACGATCTCCGCTGGAAATTCTGTTTTGGGTTTTGCTCTTGTTGCCGGTCATCTCGGCTGTTTCTTTTCCATCGTGGAGCAGTCTCTGGAGCAGTTGGCTCTTCCTGGCTACTTGGCTCATCCCGACGACTGTTTCGGCTGGTTCTCTTTGGTGAGGCAATCCCTGAAGCAGTTCCCTCTGACTGGCGGACGTTTTGCCTAATTTTCCTAGCTGAGGTACTCTTTGAAACCATGGGCTCATCCTCGCAGAGGCATTCATCAACTTCGACTAGGTCCATTGGCTTTTCTTGGCTACGATACATTTTGTTTGAAGTCGGTGTGGATTTGGGCTGGCGGTCTTCTTGACTATTTATCATCGATGAGGAAGTCTCTGGAACATTTAGGTTTTGAAATGGACACGATTCATTATTGCAAGGAATTTCCTCAAATCCTCTGGATTGTGGTGGATTCTGCGCAGGCTCGTCTCGTTGATACGATCTCCGCTGGAAATTCTGTTTTGGGTTTTGCTCTTGTTGCCGGTCATCTCGGCTGTTTCTTTTCCATCGTGGAGCAGTCTCTGGAGCAGTTGGCTCTTCCTGGCTACTTGGCTCATCCCGACGACTGTTTCGGCTGGTTCTCTTTGGTGATGCTATCTTTGGGTCAGTTGGCTCTTCCTGGCGATCTTCTGGGCTACCTGGCTCATTCCGAGGACTGTTTCGGCTGCTTCTCTTTGGTGATGCTATCTTTGGAGCAGTTGGCTCTTCCTGGTGATCTTCTGGGCTACCTGGCTCATTCCGAGGACTGTTTCGGCTGCTTCTCTTTGGTGATGCTATCTCTGGAGCAGTTCTTTCTGGCTGGCGGTCGTTTTGTGTACTTCTCCTAGGTGAAGTTCTCTTTGGAACCATCGGCTCATCCTCGCAGAGGCATTCATCGACTTCGTATGGACCCATTTGCTTTCCTTGGCCACGGTACATTTGATTTGAGTTCTGTGTTGATATTGGCTGACGGTTGTTTGGGCTGTTTGGCAGGGATCTGTTGGCCATGTATGGCTCTTCGACGGCCTCCATATAACGTCTTTTTCTGCCAGCAGGATGCGCATATTCTGCATTTTGTGCGCGTGACCAAGCCCTTCGATTCGGACACTCGATATAATCGACATCACTGTTGCTGGGGCCTCGTAGTTGCTGTTGGCGTGATGATGGAGGCCGGCGCTCTTTATGATTACTCTGTAAATCGTTGATGTTGTCAGATCGCCTGCGCTTCTGTTGCGAGGTTAGAGGCTGACTATACTGGCCTCTATCGGAGGTTCTCCTTGGAGCTTGTCTTGGCGGCACATCCATTGCATTTCGGTTTAGTGATGGGCACGATTCATTGCAAGTGGTTTCCTCAGATCTCTGATAAGGCGGTGGGGCGCGTCTGTTTTGGGCTTCCTCTCGTGGATACGATCTACGCTGGGGAATCCGTTTTGGACTCTGCTCGGCATCCGTATCGTAATCTTCGCAGGGCGTTGATGCTGGTGATGGTGGACTCGGTTTTCGGTAAAATTTCTCCTGGCCACCCTCTTGATTGTTGTTATCACTGAGCGCTGACAGACATGGTGGTGGATACCGATCGCCTCTACGATCCTTAGTCCCGGAGATTCCCGGGCAGTCTGCAACACATTCTTGGTCATCGTACTCGTCCTGGCCTGGTTGTCTGTCCTGTCTGTATTGATTGGGGGTCCTCCTTCCCTGGTTGTCGTAATTCGATTTTAGACTGGCCAAGAACTTTTGCTGAGGATCTCCTGAATTCGGCACCTTCGTGGGAGTACTCGCCCTCCCGCTTTGCCTTTTAGCTGAAGCCTCGGAATCCACTTCATTTCTGCTGCTTTGTTGTCGCTTCCGGGCTGGACACTCTACAGAAACCATTTCTGCGGTCCGGTAATTTTTTTGGGGTCGCCTGGCCACTGGCTCATCGCAGAAATCACTGTCGTCATCCGTGTACGTTGGCTGCACGCATTTGCGGAGACGATAATCCTTCATAATTTGTGCAGCCACTGCAGCGCACTGTTGGGCCACATCGGAATCTGGTCCAGAGCTACGGGATCCCCAACTTCGCACATTCGGAGCGGATGCAGTAATATCTTTGGAGCTGGACGCTCTAAGCTCTTCTGTCGTTCGTGCAGCAGCTGGTCGGGCATTCTGACGGGATCTATATGCATCCGGACCGGTGTTGTGGTATTCAGAAAACGGTGGCGGCGGACGACGCCTCGTTGGCCCTTGGTTGGATACCGGTGCGTCTTCCTGACTATACAGCTGATCAGGCGGACAGTAGCATTCGATATATTCGTATGGGTCTGTTCCTTCCGGATAATAAAAGATCTCATTCGGCTCGTTTTGCTGTGGGATCTGCTGCCCGTATACCTGAGTGTATTGAGCACTTCGGTCATAGCTGCAGCACCAGTCCGCGTCCGCTGGCAGAGCTTCGTTGTTGTTGCCGTAATACTTGGTGTCCTCGTACACTGGAGTTGCTGCTGATTGAAGTTCCTGTTCGCTGGTGTTATTGTCGCGATAGTCTCGATTGTCCTCTCGGCTCTCGCTGTAGTTGGCAGGGGGATTGACACAGATGGTTTTGTTGTTTGTGAGAGGCCGCGTTGAATTTCGTGGATTAAACTTGAGCAACAGGACATTGCACGCTTTCTCGCCCGTAGATGGACGGCAGAGAGTGTTTTTGGAGCCTTGAGAGTCACAGTTGCTGGCTTCCATACCAGATCTGGGTCTGGGTGGTTGCACTTGCTGATGCTGCTTCGGTGGGCTGCGAGTGTTGGATGCGAGTGCTCCCTTTTGCCCAGTCGCACCATACTGTCTTGGACTCGACATGTCTTGCACCCTGCACGGCGACTCTTCATCACCCACAGAGACATCAGTGGTGTGGTTGCTCCTATGCCCGTAATAGCAGCTGTGACTGTAGTTTTCCGCCGGTCTCGAATATCTTTGGGGTCCTCCTTCCCGAGCGCCTCTCCCATGATACTGTTGCATGGATTGGTGGTGGTACGAGGAGTCGCTGGACTCCTCTTCATCTTGTCGATGATACTGGCGATCGGCTCCAGAAGTGGCACGTGGTAGTACAGTTGGCAGCGTCTCGAGGTCAGAGTCATACAAGGACGAGCTGTCATATTCTTCTTCCTCGAAGCTATTATTCGAAGAAGCTACAATGCAAGGGAGATGAGCAAAGGGAGCGGATTGGAGAACGGGTCTGGAGGGACTTACAGATAATTGAATCGGATCTTTTCTCGCCGATGGGTATATGGAAGTCAACGTGTAAACTGCGCCTGCATTCCGCGCAGTCCTTGTTCATGACGGGCATGACATCATCAATAATGCACTGCACTTGGTCGTCGCGAACGCTGGGTATGGCCTTGGACTGCGGTTCATTTGGGAGTGATTGCTGTTTGGATCAACTCATATGGACATGTGTGCTTACCTCCTCTGCCTCGCCCAGTTCCTGTTTGGCTAGGAATTGGAGGTCATTGAAAATAGAGCGACAGGGCACATAGTGGAATCCCTCCCGCTGGCTACGCTTGATCGCCTGACGCTCCATGTCGTAGTAGTTTCGCAGGGAGAGCACCTGACCCTTGACCTGATCCGTTGTGAGACCGTTGTTGAGAATCCGCGTGATGCGATTCCAGGCGCTCTGCTTTAGGGGCATGCAGTGGTAGCCCGGTGAGTAGGGATTCCAGAGACACTGGTTGGCGCGGTACAAGCGAATCAGCCGCTGTGTACTGGCCTCGTCTTCGGTTTGGCGCTCATTTTTCTTCTCCCTTAGACTGTCCATCGAGGCCATTTTGCGTTTGAAATTTTCCGTACCCCTCAACGCTTAGAACAAATGTACCATAGTGCTTGAAAAAAATTGTACGTAAAGAACAAACAACACAACTTCGAATTTAGATAAATTGTCAAGCGTTGAGAGGTTTTTCAAGGATAAACTGATTCGTTTACGCTGTTAATAGGGTATACAAATGTCCATACAACTGGTTGACCTGTAAGAAGTGGTCAAATGTCGTAACATTTCATTCGGACTTTCGTTGTATTTGATTCCCGCTTACGTCTTATATTTAAACTTGCTTTTCTAAAAAGTCCAATAAAAGTTAGTTTCCGATCATGGAGAGAGACCGATTTACCCATTTTTGACCAATAGGTATTAAAAAACTTTAGCGCAGTTCAGGTGAAAGCTATCGTGGTTTCTTTAATCAAAATTGAGAATGAATAGGATTGAATAATTTACAAACAAGGATTTTTTTCAGCGGTTTAACTCAAGGTGTTCACCTGTTTTAAAAGAGGGGGCTAAGTGGGCTAAGTCGTTTTTTCGCTCGGTATATTTAGGTATATTTTGAAAATGAGATGGTTTCCGATGGTCAGACGATATATTTTATCGTTCGGTCACACTGGCTTGGGGGCAAGACATAGGCGAAAATAGGAAAAGAAAATAAAATTGATACTGCAACAAACTCCAACACACTCAACGCATGCGAGTGCATTTACCAGCTGCACCTCATCATTCCGGGCTAGTGCAAACGACCAAAGCCGTAAAATCAATCGAGCTTAATGAAAACACCGCCGCTGTAATTCCGCGAACTGTGCGTATAACCACAAAAATTTTCTCTGCATTTGAGCCCAATTTTCGCGAGCCCGACTATATAGAACACACCAATCAGATACCAGATTGCCCGTGTGGGGTTTGTCACTACCTTTGCTGTTAGTCCAATATTATTGATGCTAGTTTCAAACGAGACCCCAACACCGAAACATAAAACGACAAACGATTACCACGTAAACAGCTGCATGCGCAAAGATAAAGTCTGATCGAAAATTAACTAGAGCCGCAATTCCGCCAGACGGTACCAGATCAGAGAGCTAGAGAGTGCTACGAAGATGTCCGCGGAGCGCGAAATTCCCGCTGAGGACAGCATTAAAGTTGTCTGCCGCTTCCGACCGCTCAACGACAGTGAGGAGAGGGCCGGCTCCAAGTTTGTCGTCAAATTCCCCAACAATGTCGAGGAGAACTGCATATCTATTGCGGTAAGTGTTGCACCGCACCTAACAACTAAAGTGATCCAGTCCACCGTCGGTGTTGCCTCCTCCACGCACACACATTTCCCTTTACTTTGTGTGTTATGCATTAATCTCTGCGTGCTGTCACGGCCCATGACGTCATGCCTAACATTAGACCGTGCGCTCCGTACATTACCCTTCCCCAGCAGTAGTGCCGTCGACCAATTGGAGCAGTTTTGGCTAATTAGTGCAAAGCTTGTGTATTCCCACATCCAGTGAGCGTGTCTCGAGCGAATGCCCACAGGCGGAAAACCATAAGAAATCCGAAATTACTTCAGATCAATAGTATATTTTGCAACAAATTGATTTTCCGCCCAAAGGCACAAAAAAAAGAGAGTGTGAGGAAGAGGGAGAGTGAAACGGGGTGTGTTTGTGTGTGTCTACTGTTAGGGAACGTCAAAGAAGAAAAGCCGAAAGCAAGGCAGCCCCCCACCCACAAGTTCAGTTCCACTTATGTCCAATCCACAGAAATTTGCATTGGTAACCTTCTCTGCAGCAGCGGCTCGACGTCTGGAGTTCCATCCAGTCCGCCTTCTATGCTTACCTCACTTACATTGTACCTGCCCCCTGTGTCTTTAGTATGGATGTGTGTGTGTGTTTGTGTGCCCTCCCATTGCCACCAGCTGCCGCCACACTCCACTCCACCAGCACCAGCAACAGTGACTCATGCACACGCAAACCACACAGAGAGGGGAACATAGGGCAATGGAATTCGCTGGTTTTTGGCGCTCATAAACAATATATGTATGTACATACTTGCACTGTATTACTGTATTGTGGAAACATTGAATTTTCACCATAACTCCACCTGTAAACGAACATTTTCCCAGAAATTCGTTTAGCAACAACAATAGTTTCCATTACCAGTTATGTTGCCACCAGCGAACTAGTTCTGTTGAAAAGATGGATTGCTGCTCATTAACCGCTATATGAACTGCTATTCTACAAAACAATGAACTTGCCGTAACGTAACCGAACCTTTTCACATAAAGGAGGTCCTGCAATAAACTAATAGGCCCACATATATATCCTCCCATAAGCGATCCAGTTCTTTTGTCGAACCATAAAAGTCAGCTCTATTACATACAAATACATACATACATGGAAGTACATGTGTATGCATGAATTTATCATTACTAACGCTTCTCGTTCGCTCTTTCTTCTGCTGCTCGTTATTCATTACTGCTTTCCTCCCATCCCATCCCATCCCATCTCAGCTCCGCTCTTTCTTTTTCTAATGCTCATAATTACAATCCGTTTCGCGGCCATGCGTTCAAAAATGATTTGAAAGCTGCCAGAGGTGGGGCAGCACGGGGGTAGGGTAAAAGCTGAAGATCGGCGAGAAATTTTTGGAGGGGAAATAACAACCTTAATACATCTCTCTCACACATACACACACAACTGTGTACATACCTTTTTCAGGGCAAAGTCTACCTGTTCGACAAAGTCTTCAAGCCGAATGCCTCCCAGGAGAAGGTTTACAACGAGGCGGCCAAGTCCATTGTCTCGGACGTCCTGGCCGGCTACAATGGAACGATATTCGCCTATGGCCAGACCTCGTCCGGCAAGACGCACACAATGGAGGGCGTCATTGGCGACTCGGCGAAGCAGGGCATTATTCCACGCATCGTCAATGATATCTTCAATCACATCTACGCCATGGAGGTGAATCTGGAGTTCCACATAAAGGTATCATACTATGAGATCTATATGGACAAGATTCGGGATCTGCTGGACGTGTCCAAGGTGAACCTGAGCGTGCACGAGGACAAGAATCGAGTGCCCTATGTGAAGGGTGCCACGGAGCGGTTCGTCTCCTCGCCAGAGGAAGTATTTGAGGTGATCGAAGAGGGCAAATCGAATCGTCATATTGCCGTAACAAGTGAGTGGGGAAATGGGCTTGTGCTAGTGGAGCTACCAATTCTAAAACGATTCATCCTTTTTAGACATGAACGAGCACTCCTCTCGATCCCACTCAGTATTTTTGATCAATGTGAAGCAGGAGAATCTGGAGAATCAGAAGAAACTGTCGGGTAAACTATATCTGGTCGATTTGGCCGGTTCCGAGAAGGTTTCCAAGACAGGAGCGGAGGGAACTGTGCTCGACGAGGCGAAGAACATCAACAAGTCGCTGTCGGCGTTGGGCAACGTGATCTCTGCGCTGGCTGATGGCAACAAAACGCACATACCCTATCGCGACTCGAAGCTGACGCGCATCCTGCAGGAGTCGCTGGGAGGCAACGCACGCACAACCATTGTCATCTGCTGCTCTCCGGCCAGCTTCAACGAGTCCGAGACGAAGTCTACGCTGGACTTTGGCCGGCGCGCCAAGACTGTGAAGAATGTGGTCTGCGTGAACGAGGAGCTCACCGCCGAAGAGTGGAAGCGGCGGTACGAAAAGGAGAAGGAGAAGAACGGGCGCCTCAAGGGCAAGGTGGAGAAGCTGGAGATAGAGCTGGCCCGTTGGCGGGCGGGAGAGACGGTCAAGGCCGAGGAGCAAATTAACATGGAAGATCTCATGGAGGCCAGCACGCCCAATCTGGAGGTGGAGGCAGCGCAGCAGAAGGCCGCCGAAGCGGCCAGCGCCGCTCAGAGGACGGCGGCCCTAGCCAATATGTCCGCGTCGGTGGCCGCCGATGAACGGGCTCGCCTGGCCACGGAGTGCGAACGTCTTTACCAGCAGCTGGACGACAAGGATGAGGAGATTAACCAGCAGAGCCAGTATGCCGAGCAGATGAAGGAGCAGGTCATGGAGCAGGAGGAGCTGATAGCCAATGCCCGGCGGGAGTATGAGGCTCTGCAGTCGGAGATGGCGCGCATCCAGCAGGAGAACGAGTCTGCCAAGGAAGAGGTTAAGGAAGTGCTGCAGGCCCTCGAGGAGCTGGCTGTCAACTATGATCAGAAATCGCAGGAGATCGAGAACAAGAACAAGGACATCGATGCCCTCAACGAAGAGCTGCAGCAAAAGCAGAGTGTGTTCAGTACCACCTCCACGGAGCTGCAGCAGCTCAAGGACATGTCCTCGCACCAGAAGAAGCGCATCACTGAGATGCTGACCAACCTGCTGCGCGATCTCGGTGAGGTGGGCCAGGCCATTGCCCCCGGCGACTCCGCCATCGACCTTAAGATGAGCACCCTAGCCGGCACAGATGCCACCAAAGTGGAGGAGGACTTCACCATGGCCCGCCTGTACATCAGCAAGATGAAGACTGAGGCGAAAAACATTGCTCAGCGCTGCGCCAACATGGAGGCACAGCAGTCGGATTCCAACAAGAAGATATTCGAGTACGAGAAGGATCTGGGCGAGTACCGTCTGCTCATCTCGCAGCACGAGGCGCGCATGAAGTCGCTGCAGGAGTCGATGCGGGAGGCGGAGAACAAGAAGAGGACACTCGAGGAACAGATCGATTCCCTGCGCGAGGAGTGCGCCAAGCTGAAGGCGGCCGAGCACGTGTCCGCCGTCAATGCCGAAGAGAAGCAGCGCGCCGAGGAGCTGCGCTCCATGTTCGACTCGCAAATGGACGAGCTGCGCGAGGCCCACACCAAGCAGGTGTCCGAGCTGCGGGACGAGATCTCCGCCAAGCAGCACGAAATGAACGAGATGAAGGATGTGCACCAGAAGCTGCTGCTGGCCCACCAACAGATGACCGCCGACTACGAGAAGGTCAAGCAGGACGAGGCCCAGAAATCCAACGAACTGCAGAATATGATTCTCACCAGCGAGCGACGGGAGCAGGCGCGCAAGGACCTCAAGGGCCTCGAGGACACCGTGGCCAAGGAACTGCAGACACTGCACAATCTCCGCAAGCTCTTCGTTCAAGATTTACAGGTAAGCCCCATTACATCCTTAGTTTACCTTTCTTTCAATTGAAAAACTGACCTTTCAAACAATATTTTATTGTAGCAACGAATCCGAAAGAATGTGGTCAACGAGGAGAGCGAGGAGGATGGCGGCTCGTTGGCACAGAAGCAGAAGATATCCTTCCTGGAGAACAACCTCGATCAGCTGACCAAGGTGCACAAACAGCTGGTGCGCGACAACGCCGACCTGCGCTGTGAGCTGCCCAAGCTGGAGAAGCGTCTGCGCACGACAATGGAACGGGTAAAGGCCCTGGAGACGGCGCTAAAGGAGGCAAAGGAGGGTGCTATGAGGGATCGCAAGCGCTACCAGTACGAAGTGGATCGGATCAAGGAGGCGGTGCGTCAGAAGCACCTGGGGCGACGGGGACCGCAGGCACAAATCGCCAAGCCCATCAGAGCGGGCCAGGGCGCCATTGCCATACGAGGCGGTGGCGCTGTCGGTGGTGCAGCATCGCAGCTATCCAACAACTCGTAAATTCACACGCTCCACCCATGCACCACCACCACCAACACGCACCCCGTCGCCGCCCAGTCCATCTCCGCTTTAAACTACAAAAACTAAATGGATTGATTACGTTATACATACTTAAAATAATTGATATTGCCTTTCGCTTAAAGAGATGTCGTTTCGCGATCATGTGCAGCGCTTTAAATATATATATATATACATTAATAAAATATAAACATACATATAATATAATTAATTGAAAGAGTGGAAAACGGAAAACAATTAACTAAATTTTACAAAAGCAAAAAAAAAACCCACAGATATTTAAGGACATCTATTTTACGTTTAAGAATATTTATAAACTTTTCAAAACATAAAACTAAATAAAAGTCGCAGACAAATTAATTGCAGAGTTCCAAATTTATTCTCTTTCTAGCTAAATTATTTAAGGTGCTATAAGTATTGCATAGGCGGTCAAGTTGTGTAAACCTAAATGTATCTATAGTCGCATGTGGTAACCACTTCCACCCGCATTGTGATGCTCCCAGGCCTCTCGTGTGCTGACCTGCCACTCGTACCACACTTTGTCCGCGTCAACGCAGCGCCAGAACTTCACTGAGATTGTCTGCCCCTTCTTGAGAGTCCTCGGATGCTGAAAAGAACACACAATTATAGCGATTAGCCATTCTGACCAGGGTCCACACCCCATCACTTACTGTGGGAAAGAACATGGGAAACCATGAGAACATGCCGGGCGTGTGCGTCAGCGGATTGATGCTCAGGCGGATATCCTTATAAAGTATTGTATCGAAATAGCCGCCAATGCCATGCAGCACACAGTCTTTTTGGGCAGTGAATGAGATCTCCTTGCAGCGTGTATTGTCAATGGGCTCCACGCGATTCGGATGCACGAATTCGAACAGCGTCTGGGGATTGTCAATGTGATAGATGTTCTTCAGCAGTGACACATAGCCATAGTCGAAGGCTGGAACGGTGCTGACCAACTGGCTAACATTCTGATGCAGCACTGCCGACATTATCGGATTGATATACGACGTTGACTTGCAGGGTATGCTTAAGCCATCTGCCTTGAGTAGCTTCAAGGCGCCATCGAGGCACTCTGGCGACAATTCGTTGTCCCCAAACGAACCAAGCAGCTCAGAGACGAGGATGTCAGCCAGCTCAGGAGGTGAAAAGTCGCGCATGTCCTTGGAGAATATGTGCACATCTAAATTAGAATTAAAATTAGGTTTACTTATATCCGGTTTTTACTCTCTGTTGCTTACCTTTGTCCTCCCAAAGCGTCTTTACCATATGGGAAAGGGTGCGAATGGCACTGGTATTCTTTTCGATGATGTAGAGCCTCACCTTTCGCTTTGTCAGTTCCGAGGCATTGAAAATGGCCCTCGCAATAGGACCGCGTCCTCCACCCAGCAACATCACAACGGTCTGCAGATTGAATGTCATGGATTAATGGGAATTTTGAGCACAATTAAAGTGAACTTATCTTACCAGCTTGTTTGGGGCATCTTTTTCGCTTACTCGATCGATGAGGGCCGCTTGAACCGCGTTCTGGTAGAGTTTATACTTCACCGGATCCGACTCGAACACCTCGTATGTATAGCTATCCAGATTATCGCAGAGCGGTTGCAGTGGTATCTCCAGAACGTTTTCATAGCTAATGGGGGAAAGGGTTTAGCGTGCGTATGATGTGATTCTACTCCACCTACCTGTTCAGAATGTGGCTGTCATTGTTGTCATTGGCGAGCTTTCTTAAATAATCGGCGTACTGGGAAATGAACATGTCATTGGGATTGGCGGAGACTATTATGTTGGCCCGTGCCGCCAGAAAAAGGCCAATGATTATCTGCCACTGCTTCTGCAGGACATGGTAGTTGGATTTGTTTCGGATGAACAGAGTAGACGGAACGATAATTGCTTCGATGGGCTCGCCTAGCCATCGACGAACCGTCTCCTTACTGGGAAGATCCAAGTCCTTCAGCTCAATTACAACTTTCACTTTGCTGCTGTGCTTGACGGCAAAGCGCAGGCTATTCCACCAAGTCCATGGATCATTCGCATCCGCCGCGGCTATGTCCGCATCTGTGGCGTCTTTGCGATGCTCGAAGCTACCCATCTCTGGGTTGCTGATGGGTACCTGTATAAACCAGTTTCCTGAATGGAAATCGAACGGATACATTTTAAATTTGATTCGGTTTTTGGAGGCTTTCGTTCATCACCTTTCGTTTTGGCCTTTACGATCTCGGCCAGATTGTCGATATTTGGTCCCCGCAATCGCTTCATCATGCTGCCAACATTCTGCAAATGCTCCGCCCATGCTATATCTCGGAGGAGGATCTGTTTGGAATGCTCGCGTAGCTTGGGGCTCGGGGAATCGACATCCACATCGGACAGCATGAAAATCATCTTCGAGTTCCAGTCGACGGCGTTCAGTAACGTGCCCGGGTATGTGGGGTCCGTCTCATATGGGTCCAGGGGCACCATATTGGCGTTGATCGGTGTGGCCACCACATTGTAGTTGTTAGCATTGGCATATTGTATTTGTTTTGGTATGCTATTAGTGCACTCGTGGAGAAGACAAACGTAGAAATTCATCTTTAAATTTAAGTCGTCAAAAAACGCGGTGACTGCCGGCTGAAGTCTGATAGTGTGACCGCGGATTTATTGATAAAATATACCGTTGGACCCTCAGAAACATACCGAAATATACCTACTCATTTTCAAAATGTACCGAAAATATAGCGAGAATAAAAACGAACTTAACCCACTTAACCCCGCTCTTTTTAAACAGGTGAAAACCGCGGAAAATAATATTGTTTCTAAATTCAACTTGTAGATCCATTCTAATCGTTCCTCTTAACTCACACAACAAAAATGATCACGATATCTTTCCCCTGAACCCCTTAAAAAAATCGTGCTCCAGGAAGAGATGAATCTTTTTTTTGTAGAAAACTATACCTCAGGGAGTATATATTTCAGTAGTAGCTTTCCCGATTCGGAACATAACCAAAGACTAATAACTAACATTGAAATTCGTTTAGGCGTTAATAATTTCAGTGATCTGAGCTCATGCTAATCGCGTTTAGTCGCTGACACGGGCATAGACGACAACCGTACGTGATGGGCTGTAGACCTCAATGAAGTTGGACCGACCTGCGTATCCTTCCGGGTCGGAGCGATGCTTGACATTGCCATCGATGCGGCTGTGGCCGCCAAAGATAGGATCGTCCGAGGAGAGCACCGCCTGGTAGGTGCCAGCCCAGTTGGTGCCCACGCGATAGCCAGTAAAGCTCTGATGTATATGGAAGTTAAAGACGAAGACCAGGCCGGCACGCTCAAAGGCGATGATCTTGTCGCCCTCGTGCTTCCAGCTGACGTAGGCGGGTCCGGAATGCAGCCACCCATAGCGTTGCTCCGCCTCGTTCATGGCCCGATCGAACTCATTGAGGTATTTGTACTTCAACATGTTGTCGTCCACCAGGTTCCACTGGCGGCGGGCATAGTGATACGAATCGTTGTTGCCCACGCGGGGGAAATCCAGCCACTCGGGATGTCCAAACTCATTGCCCATGAAGTTCAGATAGGCCTCTCCACCGAGGGCGTGTGTGATCAGGCGTATCATCTTGTGCAGCGCCAGGCCACGATCGATAATCAAAGTGGAGTCCGACTGTGTGGACATGTGCGTGTACATCTCTTTGTCCATCAACCAGAAGGCGATGGTCTTGTCCCCGACGAGGGCCTGATCGTGTGACTCTGCGTACGCCACCGTGTTCTCCATCCAGCGGCGATTGGTTAGGGTGTGTACCACGTCCCCCATGCTCCACTGGTCGTCGCTCTGCTCCTTGAGCAGCTCTATCCACTTGTCCGGTATGGCCATGCCCAGGCGATAGTCGAAACCAATGCCTCCCTCCGAGACGGGACGGCACAGCGTTGGCATTCCCGAGACATCCTACAGAGGATGGAAATTTGAAAGGAAATTAGCCAGCGGTCAGACCAGCAGCAGCGCTAGGGACCGACTTACCTCCGCAATGGTGATAACCTCTGGGTCCAGCGTGTGCAGCATATGATTGGCCAGGCCCAGATAGTTGAGGGCATCCGTGTCGACATTCAGGCCAAAGTACTCATTGTAGTCGCCGCTGAAGCCCTCGCCAATGCCCCGCGAATGGTACAGCATTGAGGTGACGCCATCGAAGCGGTAGCCATCAAAGTTGTACTCGTCGTGCCACCAGCGCAGGTTGGACAGCAGGAAACGCAGCACTTCGTACTCCACATAGTTGAACAGACGACTGTCCCACAGGGAGTGCTCGCCACGGGCTCCGTCGTGGAAGAAGCAGCTGTTGGTGCCGTCAAACTGGTTCAATCCATCCTGCACATTCTTCGAAGCATGCGAGTGGACCACATCCAACAGGACGTAGAGGCCTTGGGAATGGGCCACATCAATCATTCGCTTCAGCTGCTCCGGATTGCCGCATCGGCTGGACGCGGCATAGAAGCTGGTCACCTGGTAGCCAAAGCTGGCGTAGTAGGCGTGCTCCATGACGGCCATCACCTGGATGCAGTTATACCCCTGCCGCTTGATGCGGGGCACAATGCGATCGGCAAACTCATCGTAGGTGCCCACGCGTGGCTCCTGCGACGCAATGCCCACATGGCACTCGTAAATCCTCAAGGACTTGGGCCTGGCTGGACGGGAATGCTGGCGCTGGTAGCGCTCCGATTCTGGTGGCTGCCACACGTACTGCTTGTAGTTAACTCCCTGGTTGGCCTCCTTGGGCGGCTGCACCACATACTTGGCCCAGGGCGACAGGCGATCCAGCAAATGGTCAGAATGGTTCCGTATGATGATCTTAATCTCGCTCAGATGCTTGATCTGTGGACTGCCGTCTGCATTGGGGGGCAAATGCAGTTCCCACTTGCCAAAGTCAAGTTTCCTGAAGGGATGCGACTCCCAGTGCCAGTTGTCTGTGGGGGGAGGTGGGGCAATCATTAGTTCTGTTGGCCACATCTGGGACAAGTGTCCTCCTACTTACTGAAGTCGCCTGCCAGATAGACATTCTTGGCGCCCGGTGCCCACTCACGAGCAATCACCGAGTTGTCCGGCTGAAAGTGCAGGCCGTAGTATTTGTATCCCTGCGTGAACTGGTCCATACCGCCATCGCCTTGGTTGATCTTGTCCAGCCACTCCTGGAGTACGCCGTGTCTGCAAAGGAAGTGGGTTCTCAATACGCGCAAGGGGAAAAATCTCAAACGACAAACAGTTCAGATCTGCATAGCATTGTAAAGATAAAGATCGCATAGTACGGAGCAGCCGTGACACAATTTCGGGAGCCAACCCGGAAAGGCGGCGGCCAAGGACAAGATCATCATCCATGCTCCAAACACGCCGGCAACACGCAGCGGATCCAACAGATACATCGCATAAAATTAGTTTAACAAACACACCCGCCGCACACACGCACATTCACACGCACGGTGGCAACAAACACCGGTGGTGACCTTCTAATGACATTGCCAACACAGTTTTTCCAACTGCATGTCACACACATGCATGGCGTTGATATGCAACTGATATGATTATGCATCTGCGACCGGCACTGGACAACAGCATTGCGGTGTGGACAGGCATGTAAGGTGCGGCTTATCAGTCGCGCACATAAAGCCGGCGCCAACCTTGGATTATATGACCTGCGGGCAGCGGGCGGACTAACTTACCGTCGTCGAATCTCACGTTCGAAAGGCCTCAAGTAGCCATCCGTTGAGAATAGCTTCTCGATGTCCTTAACCTTCACATTCATGGCGTCGCCCATGTCGGAAGGCGCAATCAGAAGACGAAAACAGAAGAACACAGAGCAGAAACTATGTATATATAGCTCCCACGAACGACGGCGACAAACTGTGATGCTTTATCAGCCTGCACCACATACAAAAGCTTACTAGCTCGGGGAGCTTTTTTAGGAGCAAACCACCAGCTGTTATTGCAAGTTTTCTTTTTATTTTCATTCGCGCATATAAACAACAAAGCAATGCTTCACGGACGGATTGCAATGCATGTTTTTCCGCCTGATAACAGAGTACATATATGTTTAGTATATATAGACCTAATTGGCCTCGATCTGATTGATGATTTGATTGCATTTACGGTTGACATATTTGAACCGGCATCGAATCGAAGCGTCATATGCAAACATGATGAGATAATGCTGTGTTGTCGTCAAGTGCCATTACATCTTCCAAATATATGTAGTATGTTTGAAAGTCAAAAGGTTTTAAGCGCTCGATTCGACTTTAATAAAGAAATTTAATTTAATTCTATGCCCCACCAACAAATCTCTGCTTCCAGAGCCATATAAACGATGAATTCTTAAATGTAGACGGAATCCATTAAAATGTAGTGCAATGCTGGTCGAAGTTGACAAATGAAGCAAGTGGGATGGTTCATCATAGTTGAACTAAAATATCCCATACTGATCAGGACGTTTTCAATTAACACTAATACACACAAACACACACACAGAAACATGCAACAAGTCCTCTATGTACGATCTAAAGGACGGCGCTGCTAACATTCTCGATGATCTCAAAGGCGGCCGAAATCTCCGACTCTTCCAGCAGACGATTCACGGCAATTCGTATACTGGGACGCACCGGCTTGCGTTCCCTATTATACAGGTAGGCTGCCTCCACGATAGCCACACCTCGGGCAATACACTGCGGATGGAGAAATTGTTAGACTACATTTTGAAGAGACTGCAAGAGGAGCAACCATACCTTATCGGCCACCTCTGTGAGGAGCTTCTGCTCCGCCTCGATGTTTTCTCCAGGAAGAGCCAAATACAAGTGCTTCACGGGGGACAACTCGTCCCCGCACAGGCGCAGCTTGGAGAAATGCGAAAAGATTTGATGCAACAACCTGGCCTTGGTCTGCAATTGCTCAAAGATTTGCGGCTCCCGCTCGAAACGATCCAGGGCAGAAATTGCAGCTTGGGTCAGCATTGGCGGCAGCGAGGCTGAAAATATGTAGCCCAGGCCAGAGAGACGCTGATGCTCGGCTATAAAATGTGAGCCCACACAGAAACCACCAATGGTGGCCATGGATCCCTCCATTCCAGCGGATATCAGATCGATTTCATTTCGCTAATTGAAACGAAGAGATAAGTTTGCTTTCTTTATGAAAAGTCCTTTACTTACGTCGATATTGAAGTGCTCGGTGACACCTCGTCCGCCTTTGCCCAGCGTGCCAAAGGAAATGCTCTCATCGATGAAAATACGCAGTTTGTATTGCTTGCGCAGAGCCACGAGCTGGGGAAGCGGACAAATCTCGCCCGTATTCATGTAGATGCCCTCTGCAACAAGGAAGCGGCGCGTCTTCAGAGCCTTCTTGGGGTTCTTCTGATCACGCTTCTCTTGCTCGACCAGCAGCCGTTCAAGATCTTTCACATCGTTGTGTTTAAAGAATACGATCGTGCTGCGAGACGCATCCAGTCCCTTCTGGATGGAAAAGTTGACAGCATCATCTCTGGAAAGGTAGAGCTGTTGAAATACCTACTTGTAGCCAATTTTCAGAAATTACTTACACAAATATAATGTCCCCACGCTTGGCATATGCAGGAATGGCGCTTGCCACCGTCGAAAAGCCATAGGAATACACAATAGCTTCCTCAAGGTCCATGAACTTGGCAATACGCTCCTCCAGCTCCAAGTGCACATCCATAGTGCCATAGAAACCGCGAGGACCACACGATCCGACGCCGTATTTGCGCAAAGACTTGCAGGCCTCCTCCAGAATATCCTGGTCTTCGAGGAAACCCAAGTAATTGTGCGAGCCCAGATTGAGGCAGTCGTTTCCATCGACGTTGATGCGCTTGCCCACTTTGGACGCCACCAAGCGGGTGCGTAGCAAAGGATGATTTGGATCGGTATCCCCCACCAAGGGTTCTGGCTCATAGTTCTCAATTATAAAGTCCTCCTCCTCTTTGGTAAAGCGACGACGCCGCCCACCGCCACGTTTATGGAGGAGCAGCCAGATGACGGTAATGAGCAGGAATATTTCTAGAACAATTGCAAACGTGGGTGTCTGTCCCAAGAGGAAATGTTTATCCCATGACGAAGGTATACAAATTATAGGGGTTGGCATACTCACATTGCGAAAGATGGTCCCGATCTCGTTGAACAATTGAATCACCGCCATTTTGTGAGGTTCAGTTCTTTCTTCGTTCTGTGGAAAATCAATTGAAACCACCCTTAATTTCGGACTGCTCTGGTATGTGTCATCAAGCGACGCATTCTTATCGCAATTGTAGTACATCCATGTATGAATGTACATATCGGGAATGTCTATGTACACGAATGTACTTACAAGCGGATTTATGTATGTATAATTCTAGCAAATATATGATCATTACCTAGCTGATAATCGTTTCGTTTCGCTAGTGGCTGGCCTGCTATTTCTTTGCCTTATTTTCTAGATAAAAGCGTGCACAGAATTGTGCCGCTCAACGCAATCAGCTGAACAAAAAAAGCAATGGTATTCCAGTCGCGGGATTTTGGTTTGATTCTGATTTGATTTCAATCAATTAAAATGATCGTAATTTAGATCTATAATGCAAGAAAGAATAAAGGGAAAGGATAAATGTTATCACTCGAAGAGCTTTGACACCATTCCTGCCAAAATCGATGTTAGTCAGCACCAAATTGTACCTTGAAAGTATAAATAATTCTCAGAGCGCTGCTGACAGTGCATTTAAAAAGCCAATCATAACAAATTTCTATCGCTCACGCTGTCTGTTTTGTTTCTTTGTTGGTTAAGAGAAATCAAGTTTAAAGAATCAGAAATACCCTCTACAATGGCAGTTAAAAATATTGAATTTGAATCGATGAAACTGTAAACAAACATTTGTTTCTTCGCCATAGCCAATATAAACATATCCCATCGACCGTTTATGCTGTCACAAGAAACATTCCGCTAGTGTCGTGATGTCCCGAGTTTCCCCATCTCCACATACATGTGTACGTACACGTACATTGTAGGTACCACCCTTCCATCAATAATAATGAAAAAAGAAAACACATATTTGGTTAAGTCGTTTTCAATGCATAGATTTATTTGTTAAACTTTCCTTGCTTCCAACTGTTTGTGGTTGGTTCATCAATTCAAAACAATAATCGCAATAAAACGTTAGAACAAATTGTACTGTCTAGATGGGTACTGTACTGCCAAAAAATGTTCAATCATATTTCTGTGTATTGCTCTTCGGGAGCAAAAGAGAAATGCCCGTTGGAAAATGGAAACCAAATATAATTCTCAAGAGGTGGATGTCGTAGACTACATTTAACCAATATGAAATGAAATAGTATCTGGGGTTTATTTCATGGTACACAGTTTAGTATTATGTTCGCAAGATTGGTTTTGGTTGCCTTTTGTGGTTGTTTGGACTAGCCCAAACGGCCAGACGCTTAAAACTGGCCAAACTAATGTTAATTTTTGTTTTAATCGTTTTGTTAATGTTTAAAAACTATCATATAATGTTTAGTTTAGTTCATTTTTTGTTTGCTTCTGTCCAAACGAATATTTTCCTGTTGGTAAGGTGGACAGGGGTGCGGGAGTGCCGGATGACGCCTTCTGCTACTTTTTATCGGCGCCTGAATTGGACTGTGTGGAATATGAATATTGAGACCAATAATGATTGGTGGCACCGCCATCATTATTGCCAGCGACGCCTCCTACACCGCCGCTCGCGCCTCCACTGGCATTACCGGCCGCTGCTCCGCCGGAGCCCTGTGCCTGTTGCTGAAGATAACAATTGAAGTAAAGTTAGTCTTTTGTGAAGTGCCGAATCGAATGTCTTTGCTTACCTGCCACCAGGACATCCACTGTTGTTGTTGCTGTGGATCGGCACCCTGCCAGGCTTGCTGGTTTCCATAACCAGCTAAAATAAAAACGACAACATTTTAGTTGTTTCATTCAAGTGGATTTGTGTCTATTCCGTACGCACCCTGCATTTGATTATATCCCCAATATGGTTGCTGGCCGGCGGTCTGTTGCTGCTGCTGCTGTGGATACTGTTGTGACGGCTGCTGCTGCTGCTGCCAGACGCCTGTCTGATGCGGCTGCTGTTGCTGCTGGCTATAGGTGCTCCACTTGCCGCTAAGAGAGGACTGAAAAGAGGAAATCGTGCATCAGTAGGCAGCAGTCGTAGCGACTTATCACATCACTTACCTTGCCGCCGCCGGCTGTTCCACTCGTTTGCTGCTTGTACTGATCGTAAACACCGCCGCCACCTCCTACGCCACTTCCGGCGGAATTGTTGCCATACTTAGGCACAGATTGGGCAGCTGACCGCTCATAGCCACCGCGACTATCTTCTTTGGTGTCGCGGTGGCCAGGCCGAAAATCCCGTTGTTGATGGGTTCCTCCTCCGGAGCGGTAGCTACTCTGGCTGCTTCCCCGATTCCGGTCCGTACTGCCTATTCGGCTGCGATCGTTGCCGCGATCTCGATCGCGATAGTCTCGTGAGCTACCGTATCCGCGATCATCGTATCCGCTTCGGCGGTTGTTTTGCATCCAGTTTTGCTGGCCGCCACCGCCGCCTCCTCCTCCGCCGCCACCACCACCACCGCTGCCGCCGGTGTACCCACGATTACGGTTGTCATAGGCACGACTACCACCACCGCCGCCGCCGCCTCCGCCACCTCCTCCATACCCACGATCGTCGTAGCCACTCCTGCGATTGTTCTGCATCCAGTTGTTCTGTTGGCCACCACCGCCACCGCTGCCGCCGCCACCTCCTCCGCCTCCATAGCTGGTGCGGCGATTGTCATAGCCACGGCTGCCGCCGCCGCCACCACCGCCACTATTGCTGGAGTAGCCTCCCGCCGCCACCGCCGCCGCCGCCACCACGCCTCGA